AGCATCTTAGATTTTCGTACCCCGACCGAAAGCTGCTACCTTGACGTGGTGGTCGGGCTTGAACACCGCAATGATCTTTTCAAGCTATACTGGCTGAGACTTATGTCTCTTGAGGTCCTACCATGCCAGGCAGGTTGTTTGGATAGCGGTTAAACAAAAAGCAGCTACCCAATCCAACATCATGTCCAATACAAAATTACAAAATTTCATGCCGGATCGGCCGTGGCCCGGATTAACAACGACCGCGCTTCCTGCTGCCGTGTCACAGGGCAGGAGTGATAAATATGCTACTGAGACACACCAAACAAAAAGAACAAACAAAAACAGGCCGCGTGTGACCGGCCTCAAGCAGTTGTCCCCTGGGCTCTGCGGTCACGCAACCAACTTCCACGGTGTGGGCAGCCGGGAAGTAACAATCGCCCTCACAATCCGAAATGCACACGAAACCTCTCTATTACTCACTCATCTTTGTCTTCATCTTCATCTCTATCATCTTGCCTTCCTTCCACTGATGCAACTCCTCGACTTGATAGCTCTCCACTTCCTCTCCACTCTGCGTCCACTAAAAACGATGGAAGCCAAAAAACCACCACCGACAGCCTCTTAAAGCCGCGCCACCAATTTCATATAGGAGCTCTTAATGTTAGGACACTTTGCCAAATAGGACAACAAGCATCACTAGCCAAGACCCTGGCATCACGAGCCATTGATGTATGCTGTGTTTCAGAAACACGCATACAAGACCCAAGTGTGGTTATTCACCTAACCCCACCTGGCCAACAGGTTGAATCTGCAAAATTCACCTTGAGGGTGTCAGGAGATGCCACAGCTAGTTCACGAGGATTAGCTGGCGTAGGGATAGCTTTGAGTACTAGGGCAGAAAAGACATTGCTTGACTGGATCCCGGTAGATAGCCGAATGTGTGCTGTCCGCCTGAACGGATCAGTAAGAAGGAGGAAGGACTGCACTACTCGCCGATGCCTTTTCGTAATCTCCGCCTACGCCCCCACTGACTGCAGTTCAGATGAAACGAAGGATGAGTTCTACCAAAAGCTGTCTAGTTTGGTGCGAAAGGCTAAACGCTCAGACATAGTCGTTCTAGCTGGTGACTTTAACGCTCAAGTAGGGAAATTGTGTCAATCTGAGAAGGATGTCGGTGGCACCTATGGAGTTCCGTGCCAGCGAACCGACAACGGTGACCGTCTCCTACAGTTCTGCTCTGATAATCATTTGTTTCTTGTAAGCACTAACTTCAAACACAAGGAGAGACACTGTTTGACTTGGAGACCCCCTTCATCAAACCAACGCTGGACACAAATAGACCACATAGCAATAAGCTATCGTTGGCGTGGGTCGGTAGGAGATTGTCGCTCCTTCTGGAACACGTGCGTAGATACCGACCATGCACTGGTCCGCGCTCGGGTGTGCTTACGACTGAACGGACGTAGGAAACAGCTGGCGGTAAAACCATCACGTCCCCAGCTCGATCAGGAAACTAAATCCGTATTTCAGGAAGAACTAGCTAAACACATATCTGTGTTCGACAGCTGTGCTCACCCTGAAGAAGCTTGGAAAAATATCCAGGCAGCCATAGATACAGCTGTAAAAGCTGTGAATAAGGTAAACCCAAAGGTGAGTAAAAACCACTGGATCTCCACCGCCTCATCCGAACTGATAGATGCTAGAAGACTTATTCCGGCGAGCTCCGAATTCAATGAGGAGCGAAAGCTGCACAAGAGGAAACTTACGAAAAGTCTCCGCAAGGACCGTGAACAGTGGTGGGCGACAAAAGCCAAAGAGATGGAGAAAGCTTCGAGGATAGGCAACACCAGGCAACTCTTTGGACTCATCAGGGAAACGGGTGGGAGAAGACAAATCATCAGTGAGACAATCTCGGAAAAAAATGGCACTATAATTAGCTCCCAGGATAGACGACTGGATCGTTGGAAAGAGCATTATGAGGAGCAGTTTAATTTGCCCACAGCCACGCTCAACCTTCCGAGCATCCAACACCTCCCTGAATGGGATATAGACACAGGTCCTCCGTCACTAACTGAGGTTACTAAAGCTGTCACCAATCTGAAACTAGGCAAAGCAGCGGGACCTGATGGAATGACTCCAGAGGTATTTAAGTACGGTGGAGACAGCTTACTGTCCGGATTAACTGAGGTACTAGGCAGCGTCTGGGAATCAGAAGAAGTCCCATCGGGTTGGTGTAAGTCACTGATTATCCCCATATACAAGAAGGGAGACAAGTCTTCCTGTGATAATCACAGAGGGATTAGCTTGACTAATATAGTATCTAAAGTCTTAGGCTCAATAATCATGCGTAGACTGAGTGGTGCTCGGGAAGCACAAACACGAGAGAGCCAGGCAGGCTTTAGACCAGGAAGAGGGTGTATTGATCATATCTTCACCCTCCGACAGATTCTAGAACATAGGCATTCCTACCGGCGTCCAACAGTCATTATATTTCTTGACCTAAAGGCAGCATTCGACTCTGTCGATCGGGAAGTTCTCTGGAGATGCTTGGCTGTAAAGGGAATTCCGAGAAAATATATTGCACTGATTAAGGCACTCTACTCGTACTCATACAGCCAGGTGAGGGCTTACGGCGAGCTGTCATCTGAACTGATGACGACCAGTGGTGTCCGTCAAGGATGCCCATTATCTCCTTTTCTATTCAACTTCATCATAGATGTGTTAATGGACTTAACCCTAGGTGACTTCAGCGACTCAGGGATTGACTTGCTACCGGGGAATAATCTCGTTGACTTGGAATATGCAGACGATATAGTCCTTCTAGGCGAAGACGCTGACGAAATGCAGAGTCTTCTAAACACCTTGAGCCGCAATCTACGAATGTTTGGCATGCGATTCGCTCCCGCCAAATGCAAGATGATGTTACAGGACTGGACTACATCGACGCCTAGTTTAAAAATAGGAAGTGAAGTGGTAGAGCACGTTGACCGCTTCACTTATTTGGGAAGTACCATCAGCCCCAACGGGTTGATCTCTGACGAAATCTCAGCACGAATACAAGGGGCTCGTTTCGCATTTGTTAGTTTACGCCGACTCTGGCGTAGACGAGATGTTCGACTATCGACCAAAGGGCGGGTGTACTGCTCATCAGTCCGCTCCGTCCTCCTTTATGGTTGTGAGACCTGGCCACTGAGAGTGGAAGACATGAAAAGACTAGCTGTCTTTGATCATAGGTGCCTGCGTTCTATTTCCCGTGTAAAGTGGCATAATAAGGTGAGCAACATGGAGGTTAGGCGTAGAGTTCTAGGTAAACAGGGGAAATCAATCGACGAAGTCGTGAAGCTACAAAGACTGAGATGGTTAGGACATGTGTTACGTATGCCAAGCCATCGCCTCCCTCGACGAGCAATGTTAGCGGATATAGGGTCAGGCTGGAAAAAAGCTAGCGGCGGTCAAACAAAAACTTGGCATCAGTCAATGAAATCCACAACAGTTGGTCTAAGCCACGTAGGAAGGTGTAGACTTCCAGGCTGGGGTCCTCGGGACGGTAAAAATCTATGGTTGGAAACAATTGGTGACATGGCTCAAAATCGTTCTCAGTGGCGCAGATGCATCCACTCCTTGTGACTTATGATCTCCAATGAAACTGTTTTGTTTTTCTTTATTACTCCTTTGTCTCACGCCTCTGCTCACTGTTTCTATTATGCTTTTCTTGTACTTTCTTCTCTTGCTTCGCGTGCTACACGGAGTGTGGCGACTTGAACTTCCGCACATTTGTGCAAAGTTCTATGTCGAAAACAGACAGACAGACAGAGATTTTCGTACCCTATGTGGTAATTCTATACAGGCTCTAAACTCGTTGCTGTCATTTTTCTTATTAGTTCTTATAAATACCTAAAAATACTTCGGTGAGTTGTAATTTAGTGATAGCAGGTCTGCTAACCCTTTGGTTACTTTGCCTTCATTTTTGTGAATGTTTGGTTGAGTGGAGCCCATTGGTAAAGCGGAATACAAGAGTCTAAGCTCATCTTGAATGGCGAATCCAGCTAGGATCAGTAACCCTAGATGGAACTTGACCATCGCAATGCATGTGCTAGTGCCCAATCACACCACAGGATGAAAATGTTGGCTTTAGAAATTAATATGGTTAAGTGGAGAGACAAACTCATCATCAAGTCTCTGTTGGTTTAGTCAATAGGTGTGATTGAAAAGATGTAATACCAGTTTTCCATAGAGAAAATGTTACCAAAAAGGTAGGAATAAATTAGACTATATAAAGCAAGTTCGAAAGTTATGTAACTAAACTGATATGACCGTAAGCAATAAACTTGTACTGTCTATACCAGTAGATGGGTATCTAAATGTCTTCGGGATCAAAGGTAGATCCTGTAACTGCTATATATTTGACTGTTGGTTCCCATAGTTTTGATAGGTATTAGTTACCGTTCGGAGTACTTAAATTACTGTGAAACGGTGGTTTTACGCTGTAGACAGAATGAATTGAAATCAGTAAGTGTTTTGTTTTCATCTACTTAACATAAAAGTCTTTGCATTGCAAACACCAAAAAGTATTCCTTATTAAATCATCGCTTAGTTAAGTATTAAGACACTACTAAAAAGCCCGAAGTTACCTGATGTAACCTTTTTAACTGTAAAAAAGAGGTGTTTAAAGAACAACTTAAGGATCATTATATAACTGCCCCACCCTTCTGTGCAACTCTTAGACGCGTACAAAATTAGGTATTGTGTTCAACTCATACACTAATTCTAAAAGTTAATATGCTGGGATTCATCCACTGAACTCGTTACGATAATTTCCCGTTCTTTCTCCCTCAGGAAGTATGTTGTGTAAAACTTTGTGCTCTGTATAACATTTAAAAGTCGTGTTACCGTAACCTGAAAATTGACAACACATTTTTTGTTTTACGTGAATCATATTTAATTGCACATTGTCTATCCATTTTATGAAAATTTTCAAAATTCTGTTTTATTGTTTCACTACCTTCGATTTTCTTTAGAACTTTCTAATTGTTTTACAAGTCAATGTTGAAAATCAATTAGTAAACTTTACTATGGTCAAGTCAACTATAGCACTATTGTTCAGAAGCACATCAGCTTTGAGAAAACGCAAAACTAATGAAACACCTGAACAACATTTAACCCAAGTTACACATTTATATTTGAATGGCAAAAATTTAGACGAAGTGGTAAGATTTTTTCGCATAATATTCAACTTCCCCTCACTTTAACGCTCGTATTTCCTTCTGCACTATAATCATTATGGTTTCATTTTCAGGGTTATGAAATCACACTGTGTCAACGCTTGTCTGTTCTGTACTTGTATGATAATAAACTTAAATCGATTCCAGCGTGTTTAAATTTATCCCAGTTGACACATTTATATTTGCAAAACAATCAAATAAGCCGTATAGAAAATTTGAATTCATTAGAAAAGTTAGAAAAACTGTAAGTTTCTTTTCCAAATTCAGAACAAATCCTCATTTCCTCCCTCTTTTTCTCCTTATTAACAGTTTCCTTAGCCGAAATCATATCAATCTAATCGAAGGTTTAGAAGGATTGACCAAGTTACAAGAATTACGAGTGGACAATCAGTTCTTGGATAGTGGAGAACGTTTGATTTTCGATGATCGCAGTTTAAATGCCATAGCTGTAATACATCTACTATTGTTCTCAATTTTAGTATTATTATATATTTTACACACATGTAGCCTGAGTTTCCCTTAAACACTTTCTTAAAACAGCTATTCTGTTTGCATTCTAGCTAAAGTTGGCTTATCATGGGAGTTACTTTGGATTAAATCAGTCCCATTCATATTTCTCAAATTAATGGTTAATCATTACTTGTTTACAGGGGAACTTAATTGAACAATGGCATAAACAGGTGAACTGACCGGTAGTGAGACAATCCGCGTTGTCATAAAAGAAGGGGATTTAGATTCAAAAATACTACAGTCTTTCTAACCTATTAGGAATTGTTCGACCACTGAACGGGGACGTCTCAGTAGCTTTTCGCTGAGAACACCAAAAGTATAGCTGAATGAATTCGGATCATCTGTATCTGTCAAAACTATCGAGGCTTGAATGAATGTTTATTTATTTTTGAATTTAATAAACAGAAGTGTTTAGTCTACTAAATAAGCCCTAGATTTTCAGCCTGAAAAGTCCATGCTTCAAATTACTGCCCCACCTACTTCAGATCCGGTAACTATGCACTGTTATCAACTCTCACATAATATGCAAGTTTTATATACTGCAGCGTAAAAATATGCTCAGGACAACCAAATTCTAAGTAAATTCTTTAATTTGAATCCATTTCTAAATGCATTCTTCATTTTTCTCTATCTGCTGTTCATCTCATTTTGCTTCGTTGTATTGTGATATCTGTTGAAAATGAAATCACCAACTTACTAGTATAGCCTGATACGTTTGGATGTATCTGGAAATAAATTGGAAAGTCTACAGGATTTAATTAATCTTCATGCCTTAATCTCATTGAGTGCAAGTAATAATCTACTGCAATCAATTAATGACTTGGCAAGTTCTCTGAATCACTGGCCAGATCTAAAAGAATTGAATTTACATGGTAATCCTGTAATGAAGACAAATCGTGCAAGAAGTATTATTATTCTGAGTGCAAAACATTTAGGTAAGTTGTTACATGAATGGTAAACATTACTTATATCTTATCAGTAGTATTTTTATTGTTTTCTAGCTTGAAATTAAGAGGGCGATAATCACTGATTGAAGATTAGTGGTTGACATCATTTGTTGATTTAAATTGGTTTTTTAACTTCAGTCAGTACTTCATGATACTCTTGAGTAAATTAGTATTTTTAAATGCCTGTTAACTTTAGTGAAATATTTATTTATTACCCTACGCTGTTTCGTGAATGACAGAAGAAATATTTTTTACTTTGTTCTCACATGTGTTCAAACTATATCCACTTTTGGGAAAAAGTGGTGCTGTGACTTATTGGTCTAACTGCTCAAGTTTCAACGACTATACCTAGGGATTGAATCTCTCGACATCTATTTAAGTCTGGACAGCCATGTAGTATCATTTAACCCTCATTGCTAACAACATGGAATTGCAAGTGTCTCTTTATTTTCGTCTGAAAAACATTATCTCTTTCATAGATTATTTTAAATACAATATGGAAATGTGTTTTACTTATCCATGTTATTTCGTATTTGATATAAATCAGTAATCACATTCTCCCTATAAGTGAATGTTCCAGGTAATTGACGATATCAGTCACCTGTAGCAGTATTTATCACCTAAATCCGAACTACCAGATCTCTTGAATTAAACTCATGTAACTGTGTCACTAAATATTCAATAATTAGTGTTCATATCTAGCACTGACTTCATAACCAATTGTTATTTATTCAGTCTAAAGGTCATACTGATTCCATCCAAGTGAAATGAAATAGTGCTACCTTTGACTGAAATTGTCTACTGCTCTGCTTATGTATGTATCATGCTATAGCCCACATTTGTGGTATGCTAGGTGGAAAGTAAGTATCTAGTTGTCAAAACCTCAGCAGATGGAGTGCAGTTCGACCTCACCGCCTATAAGTTACACAGAAAGCAAAGTTAGTATGTAATTTAACTTTAACGTATAACAACAACGTATAACAACAGTCAAAGTTGTCTCTATATTATGTAAAAAATTGGAAGCCATAGTAACAAAAAATGCAACCATTAGCCATAAAGGAGACAGTACTATTGTAGCAACAGATGACAAGGGTCAGGCAACAGATCGTTTATTAAGGAAATCAACACATATTTGTAGATTTTCATGTACAGTATTATAGATTATTGTTAGCAGACAAACACAGTCTTCTGATTGGTTGTTTCTCACTGAAAGTTAATCTTTCATCTCTTTGTGACTGTTTCTTGAATGTCACATCACCTATCTGCTAACTGTATCCGCCTACGCAAAGTGTGCTGTGATTGGTTGTTGAGTCAGTCTTTGATCTTGTTTTCACATGACCAATATTTTGGACATATACATTGACGTAAATTACCGTCTACCAATTTGGCTAGTAGAAGGCTCTCCCCACACTGTTATTAGAATTTAGATGAAGATATAACAGATGTACCTGCATTACTGAGAATGAATTGGACTATTAAAACTGTGGTTGAAGTTATCTCATAGACATGAATTAGTCCACTAGTAATTCCTATATTGGATCCGCTACCACTAACTTCATTTCCAGCCACAGGAATTATGAACCTACTAATCCTATAATTTCACACCCTTTCCAAGTTCTATGCATTCTGTATGTGACATATTGTTTTACCTTGTTCACATTTAGCTAGGATTATAATCACAAACACTTTAATTGCATTTCATACTATTATTTTTTATGTGTTCACACCTATGACTCAACGCCTTCACCCGATATAATCTCTTAAAAAACCATATATACACGATTGTACAGCTTGATAATAAATTCGTTGAAAAGAGTCTCTTCTCTGAATCATTTGTTTTGATTTTCTACATTAATATTAGACATACGTGACTGATATCTAAGATATTTCAGACAATGAAAGTCTACAGTCTAACTGACTAATTACTTTCCTTTAAACGATTGTCTAATGTCCACTATGCTATAAGCAATAAGGTTGTCTCGTTCTTATTAAAAGCAGCTCCCTTATTGTGTTAACTTATAGCATCATAACATGAGTAATAAACAAAACAAAATAAAGTTGTAATTTTGCCATAGTTTTATTTCACTCTTTTGCATTTAGAAATATTAGACGACAAGGTTATATCTAGACCAAATAGACAATTTCTAGAAAATTGGAATCATCATAAAAGTTTTAGCATTGAAACATCAGGTAAGCATTTGGTTACTTGTAAATTATTGTCGCTTCCACCTATCTGTTTGAAATATGTATAAATTATTACGCATTGATCAACAATTCAAGGTAAGGCTTATCATGCCTCAATAATGAAATCAATAGAAAAGAAGATTCACGGAACATTTTCAGACTGTCCTGCAGTTACGACAATTCAAGAGATTGAAACAATAATAATCATTACATGTGATAAATATATTTCTATTCAATCCCAGGCCTTAATTTCACTGACACGTAGTTTCTAGTCTCTGCCGATTCCTGATAATATACCATCATTATCCAATGCCATTACCTCAGTAACTATCCTCATAGCTGACTTAGCATGGACTATTACTTATAGTTTCTTACTGGAACTACCCGAAACTCATCTTGAAATTAAGGACTCAAAAGTGAACTGTTGTTCGAATGAATTTGTAAATATTTAATTAAAATACTTCTGATTATAATCATAGTTAAATGTCAAGTAGCAAAACAATTAGTGTCATATATAGAATAATTCATAAGATGTATACATTTTGGAAACGGGTGCATAATTATAGGATTAGTAGGCTAATATAAAAAGTTACATAACATGGCGTTAAATTTGACAAGATAGAATTCAACAATGTAAAAATTAATGGATTTAATAACAAGTAGGGCTAGCAGAAACAATTTAGAGTGAGGATAGTAATAATAATAATAATAAGCGTAGTAATAAGAGAAAGGTACACAGGTTAACTTAATAAACTAAATAAATAAATGTTGATCCCTCTACGGTCAAGGGAGAAGTGAGGATTGTACATACTTATTTTGTACAGAAAGGCCTGACTTAAATTCATGAATGACCAAAGCCTCCGCTGTCTTTCGAAGTCTGTAACGAAGAAAACGTGGCAAGCTAGCACGGATTCCGTAGATGATTTTAAAATCATGATCACGGTTGATAGAGTGACAGGAGTCGATCAAATGTTCTAGAATAGAGCTTCGCACACATTTTCTTTCTCCCTTGTAAAACCATACTGGAATATGTTCTCGCATCCGTGTAGAAAACGCTCTGTGGCTACGGCCAATGTACCTTGCTCCATAAGAGCAGGTGAACTGATAGATGCACATGGAGGCAGTCAGAAGAGGGAGCTTATCTTTTACAGAGATGGAGAACAACTTGCAGCTGGTAAACGTCATCTGTAATTTTGCAGCGAAGAACGTCTTACTGACTGATCCAGAGAGACGGTTTTTGAGCTTATCTGAAGCTTGATCACCTCTGGATTCCAAGTTCATGAATAAGGTTTTCTTTGCAACTGAGTCGGTGACCAGTTTGGACGGCTTACATTTTGGGTTTCTGTTAATAAATCGGTTCGCGTAACCCATTTCTGCAAGTGTGGCTTTTAAGATGGCAGGTTCCGGCTCAACGCAATCAGAACTACAAATGTTTCTAGTCCTCAATGCAGGGTAAATGAATTAGGTTCCTTTTCCTGCACATAGGCAACCAACTATAAACGTTGGTTAGTTGTCCATTCCACATACGTTTGGGGTAGATGGATCTTCTGAGAGATCCCTCATTGCGTCTACTAAGGCACACATCAAGAAAGGAATGCTTAGTTCAGATTCCTTTTCTATGGCGAATTGCAAAGAGAGATAGCAGTTGGTGAATGCAAATAAGATATCGTCAAGAATTACATTCTTGTCGGAGATGAAGAAATTGTCGTCTACGTATCTTGTATAAATGTCAAAGTGACCGACGGTTTGACTTAGTTGAGAGTTTTCAAACTGTGCCATAAAATAATCAGCCGGCAATAGACCCACTGGCCATCCCACTGCAGTGCCATATATCTAATTATTCAGAGCCAATTGAGCATTCAACGTGCATCTCCAAATCAGTTCTTCGAGGTGGGTTGTCGACAACCCTATTTCTAAACTATGTGCATCAAAATAGTCACACATATAGCAAACAGTTTCCATGAGATATATATTAGTAAATTACGAATTCACATCTAATGGGAACATGACTTTGTCTGAGGTATTAAAATCTTTAATGCTCTCGATAAATTTAAATGTATCGTCAATGGAAAACGTAGACACTTTCCTTCTAACCGGCTCCAGTATTTTTTAGTTAACCATTCAGCAATTCCGTAATAAGGAGGACCCGTCATATCGAGAATTGGACGGAGGGGTAATCCTGTCTTGGGAATTTTCGGTAGCCCATACAAACGTTGTATTACGGAGCCAACTTTTCGGATGCGTTCATTCAAATCTGACGAGATTACGGATTTATTCTTCATGTTCTTTAAAACGTCAGTCAGTTGATTTTTATTGATACAAGTATAAAACTTGGGCACTGTGGTAGAGTATAACTCCATTATGGATAAGATTTATCTAAATAAAATCTTATCCATAATTGAGCTGATTTTTAATTAGATGCGTCTTGTTTTTTTCATCATTGGGTTTGGCGAATTTCATTTGGTCAGAAAGGATCACTGAGATTTTATCATTATAATCTTGGCGATTCATAACTGCAACACCTCCACCTTTGTCTGGACGGCATGTGATAATATCATCATTCTTCTCCAGTTCTTTAAGTTGGTCTATATGGTCTTTGGTCAGAAGATTATTCGAGCTATGTTTTGAACTAGTAAACTGATAACAGCAATCAAGAACTGTAAGTTTTAAGTGTTGGAATTCCTGAAGTGATGTAGGTGTGAAATCGTCCGTCTGGTTAATTAGACTTTCGAATTGCACCTGGGTACGCAATATACGAAAGTTACGGAAGCCTTCGAAGTGAGGACGGGAGTGAGGCAAGGCTGTCTACTATCGCCAATGATCTTCCTGATTGGAGTAGATTGGATAATGAGACAGAAAACGGGCAATGAGGAAACAGGCATAAAATGGACTCACACAAAAAACTTGGAGGATCTGGACTTCACCGATGGTATATGTCTGATTTCCCACAAACTGGAAGATATGCAAGTGAAAAGCAACAAGTTGGCAGAAGAAGCATCAAAGATAGGACTTCAGGTGAACATAGAGAAGACAGAGGTGATGAAGATTCCTGGTCAACAACAACAGGCAACAATCAGCATAAATGGGAGGAACGTGAAAGAAACAACCTCCTTCACCTACCTGGGAAGCATCGTTTCAACTACAGGCGGACGGAACTGGCGAGGATATCAAAGCCAGAATCGGAAAAGCAAAACAAGGTTTTACTACTCTTAAGTCTGTGTGGAGGTCAACAGCACTCAGCATCAAAAATAACATCGGGATTTTCAACTCCAATGTGAAGTCAGTGCTACTCACTATACGGACCAGAAACTTGGCTAGCGCGTCATAAAGATCATCTCAAACAAACTTCAGACCTTCATTAACAGTTGTCTTCGCTCAGCACTACTCATTATCAGGTGGCCAGCCAAAATAGATCAGCAACAGGGATCTCTAGCAATGAGCGAATCAACCAGGAACCGATTGTGAAACAAATAGGCAGGAAGAAATGGAGATAGATTGGCCATACTCTGAGCAAAGAAACCATCAAGTGACATCACTTGACAGGCCATCGCTCGAGTGGAACCCGAAAGGGAAGCGGCGAGTTGGTCCTCAGTGCAAGAGTGTTTTGGAGGTGGTCATGTGAAGAGGAGATGAAAGCATGTGGGTAGACTTGGAGCGGGGTGAAAAAGTTGGCAAAAAACCGAAGGCAATGGAGACGCACAGCTGAAGCCCTATGTTCCTCTAGGAATTAAAGGATATAATAATAATAATATGCAATATGTTGGCTTTGGATGAACTGCAACAGAACTTAGGGTCCAGTGATAGAGCTTGTAGTTGAGTTTCAAAAAGAGTGACGAGAGAATAATTGAATACTTCAATTTGAAGTATGCGGTGCAGATGTTGCCTAATAGAGCAATGAAAGCTTCGCAAATTAACTAGCCAGAGAACACAACCACATCAAAATTATCCATCTGAACTACAAATCTTCTCCATCATGTCTAAATCTAATTCTTTTTCTAGACTGTAGGACATAAGTGACAACAGATGTGATTAAGTTTCGTTTTTGTTCAATTGGGACCCAGCTGTAAAAACGTGTTAACTGACCATTCGATGTACGCTTTCTATGGACGGATATTATAAATTCATGGGCTCTTCTCGCTATTTGAACACCAGAAAAAAGAATGCTAGATTCATTTTCCACTTCAAGAGTAGATTTTATTACTGCATGGCAGTTATTCAATACCTGTTTCAAGTGATTAAGGCTATATTTGTTATCACAAACAACAAAAATGTCGTCAATGTATCCTGTGAAAAGCTGGGAATTATCCATAGCTGACTTTAGTGAACCAGTCTCGAAGCTCGTCCTAAAACAGTCTGCTAGCAATGAACCCATGGGATATCCTGTTCTTTTGTCTGTAAATAAAGTCATTGAATGTGAATTGTACATTTCATTAGTAGCTCTTTTAGATGACCTGTTGTTATTAATTTATTCAACTGGTTTTTATCCGCATCTGTGTGTATGAAATGGATGTTTCCCGTAAGTATAAAGTTCTTGAAAAGTGATTCGATGTTGAGAGAGAGCATACTCTCGTTAGAGGTGTTCATATCCTGTATGCCATCGACGAAGCGAATACACAAACATCTAGAATATCATCTAGACATTTTGTAAGTGAACATTCAAGGGGAACGTGACATATAGAATTGGACGCAGCGGGAGGCTGACTCTGTGTGTTTTGTCAAACTATACAATTTTGGTATTTTTGTGTCTTTTGGTAGAATGCGATCATAAGTGTCTTGGCTAATTAATTTATGGGCGTTCCTTCTTTTCAAAACCTTCCTGAACTGTATTTTAATGTGTTTCGTTTTGTTTCTCCCACTTGGCAGTTAGGACAATTTTGTTGTTGTTTGAGAGTGCGCTCTTCATTTTCTCTTTGTAGTCTTTTCGATGCATAAGAACAAAACCAATGCCGTCGTCAGGACTGGTCATTATTAGATCTTTGTTATGTCCTAGGTGTTTTAATTGTCCT